ATATGGGTATCTGAAGACAGCTACAGTGTACTTACATATAAATAAATCTTTAAAAAAAAACTCTTTAAAAAAAAAATTCCTGCCTGATTTTCTAAATTTTCCTGTCTCTTAGGGTGAAAACATTTTATTTACATACTGAAAAGCAAAATTTGTGTGTGGGGGCGGGGGGAACAACCCACAGATTTCTTCTGGTTAGGAACTTTCTGGAAACTCAACAATTAGATAAGCTCAAGGTCTTCTGTCATCTGGTTTTTATGGTTTTGATTTCTGAAGCTGGAACACAGTCTGCTATCAGTCAAGGGTCATTACTCCGGCATCTGAAGGTCCTTATCAAGCGCCTTCCCATTCCAAGAAGATATCGCAGACCCAGCAGCAGGCAAACAGTCACCTTGACTTCACTGGAGAAGAACGAGGCACAGAAGGAAGAACGGGGCAGAGAGCCAGTGCTGGCTTTCAGAGCTACTCAGAAAGGAGCAGGACAGGAAAGACTCACAGAGACAAAGATGAGAGCTTCCAAAAAAAAGCAGGGCTAGCGCTGGTAGGGAAGAGAAGGATGGGGTGAAATGGGGGTGGGGAGGACAAAATAAAAATCAGTGAGTAGACTTAACTGGGCATGGCAATTGCCTCCAGTCCTAGCACTGGGAAGCCTGAGCCAAGAAGACCAGACCTTTGAGGACTGGGCTACACATGGGACCCTGTTGGAATACTTCAAAAATAGTTTCTTGAAAAGCTGCCACTGAAATTTTAACATTTGCTATTTGAGTGATGTCACGTGAACTGAAGGGAAAGTAGACGAGAGGATAGAAAAAACGAAACTACTGAGAATAACCAGGGACTGTGACTTTGGTCAAGAGTCACACAAGCATGTCCTATAATAATCTCTCTCTCTCTCTCTCTCTCTCTCACACACACACACACACACACACACATATATATGATAATATGTACATATGTATGTGTATATATATGTGTGTGTATGTACATGTATATATATGACATATGTATAAATATATATGTGTGTATGTACATATGTGTGTATGTGTGTGTTTATATACCTATAAGACCACATCATTTGTGCATTTCCACACATTGGACTTTGGGAGGTTCCTACACAAATTATTGCAAGAGTTTTCACACATCAGTACTCTTGTTGCTTTTAAAATGTTCCTTCAAAGGGCAGCTTACAGGGCCCCTTTTATAAGAATTAAAGAGTTTGCAAAATATAAACTAGAAGGCAAGGTAACAACCACTCCCAGGGAGGGAAGGAGAAAAGGGTGGGGAAATAGGAAAGTAAATGGGGCTAGCAAAGGGAGGAAGGTGGGGACTAGGAAAGGTAAGGAGAGGGAAAGGGGGAGGGAGGGAGGGGGCACAGGGGAGGAGAGGTACAGGGAGAGAAAGAGTTCACCCTGCTGCTGCAAAGGGAAGGAAGGCAAGACCAAACCTATCAGTTGTGCTGTGTCTGGGGGAAGAAGCCCAAAGTTTCCCAGCTGCCATGCCCAGACTGTTCAAAAGGGTGGCCACTACATGGGGCCACAGAGTTGGCTCTTTCACTCTGCAGAACTGGCACTCAGGTTATCTGCCCTTGAAAGGTTATTTTGCTTTGTTTGAAAGAAAGAACGAACAAGGTTTTTCTTCCTTCACTCACATGCCCTGATATCAGCCATGTTTCTTGCACTGAACGGCAGATACGACTTCCAGAGTCTGCCAAGGATAACTTATGTATGCTGCACAGCTTGTATTTCAAGTCGTGATTCAGAACGCCCAGAACATGTTCTCTATGTCTGGAGTAAGATCATGTAGTGCTTTTGCTTGGTGGGACGGAGGGTGAGGGGTGTAGAGAAGGATAGAAATATTACTGACATGGATCAGCCAGAGCAATGAAGGCAGACAGTTAATGATATTTATGGGGCTTGTGGACCAATTTGACTCACACAACTTTGTTCTGTTGCTCAAGTCTCCACTCTTCCTAACTCAACAGTCCCCACTCCTGACCTCAGATTAAAATACGTTAAGGATTTTCTATTCTCCTGGTTCAACTCGGAATTTCTCCTGGTTTTGTTGCTATTTTTGTTTTGTTTTGTTTTGTTTTGTTTTTAGTTTGGTTTTAGAAAAAAAAAGTCTCAACATGTAGACCAGACTGGATGAAACCTCTGGACTGCTTCCAGAGTGCTGGATGGGAAGCAGGCGCCACCACCCTGGGCAAGATAAAAATCATTACTTTGTATCTAATCTGTGAGTGTTTCATACAGCCTGCCCCTTTGTCCTCTGCTCTCTAGACACCCTGATAACCTATCAGTTGTTCAACTGGAACATCCTATGCTTCTCCACGCACCCAAATGGTCCTGTGATCCCCACCTTGTCAGTTAATAGTCTTCAGACTCTAGTTCCATTCATTTCCTCTTATACTTTATGTAATTTCTAGCATTTAGTCCAATTATTTTATGTATCTCTTATGCTAACTAGATGCCTTCTGCTCCCATCAGTGGGCTACATGTCCTCTTTGAAGAGCAGCTATTTCTATTTGGCTCATTGCATAGCCCACAAAATATATGTTCCACAGACATTGATAAGAGAGTAAAATTAGCACTGTGCAGAGAAAAGACAGGATGTCCACAATTTGGGGACGGGGTCTCCAAGAGTGACTCCAAGGGACTGATTCAAGGAATCCAAACACAGGTGATAAATTCTATGATATTTGGTTTCTATTTTTAAGCCCAAAGAATGAACCGTTCCTTTCTCATTTATAGGTGCCTAGTACAAACTCACTGACTAAAGAAAGTAGGAAGAAAGGAATTATGAGAGGATGGTTTTGGCTATGACATGGGGCAAATCACTTCATCTCTGTTCCCCAGCTGAAGGTCACACGAGTCTAGTCCATTTCCATTTTTTTTATTTCCAAACTCCTCCCACTTTGGAATTCTGCATCAAGGACCAACACATGATGGCTAAGTTATTTAGCAGCTCAGACATTTTGTCTTCAATGTGTTTGTGTATATTTGTGTGTGCATATGCCAGGTACAAGTGAGCGTCTACCTAAGCCAGAAGAGGGAGAAGAGGGTACCAGATTCCCCATAGCTAGAGCTACATTCAGTACACAGGGTGAAGAGCCACCTGACACGGGTACTGGGAACAGAACTTAGAATCTCTGGAAGAGCAGCAAGGGCTCTTGACGACTGATCCATCTCTCCAGTTCCATGGTTCAGACTTACTTCATGGATCATGTTTAATGTATTCAAAAAATCGTTATCACTATGTGGCAAGAGGCCAGAACAGTTGCATCAAGGAGAACATGTTAGGAACAGCCAAAAGAATGGCAAGTTACTGCAGGATGTCAGGCATAGCACATGGAGAAGCTCTGCTAATAATCTTGACAGTTAACCCTGAGACATCCCAATCTGCCACACAGTGATGCGCAAGCAGCACAGAGCATCTTGGTCCCAAAGCTGACTGTTTTAATTGCCTGATGCCATTGTCAAATGATTCGAAACTAGTACAAGGGAATTGTAGATGATTTTAATCATTCAGCCTACAGATAAATAGAAAGAGTCAGGTCAAGGCCTCTTGCCCACCAATTGTGGGTTACTCTGTAAAACTAATTAAAGATGTATGTTCTTGTGCTAATCCTCTCCTAGTAATAGTTCATTCTAATGTGCTCTACAAACTAGAACTTGAGGCCTACTTCCTTCCACACCTTATCCTGGTCACACAGTCTAGCCCAACTCACAGTTTTCAAGCCTTATTGAGAAATGCTTGACTTCTACCAAGTCCAGCCAAGGAATGGTCTTGAAATAAGTTGGTACCATATTTCCCAATGCCTTACACTATTAATTAACATAGTTCATGAATTCATTCATTAGTAATTAATGAACATGACAATTCTGTTGATCATCCCATTTGTCTTATGGTTATTTATCTAGTTTATCTTCCATTGAATAAACTGAATCTACTCAATTTATCCCCAAATTATGTATAGGATAAGACAGTCCCATAATTGATCCTCATAGTCACATAGCTGAGAAGATGAGAGTCCACAGGGAACCCAAGACATGTGAATGTAGCACCAAGCATTCCCAGAAACTATCTGAGGGCATTTTGCATCACTTTTAAGTCCAAAGGTCAAGATGTCTATACCAATGCTAGCCATCTACACAATTGCTGGATTAGTTCATTCTTAGTGAGAAAAATGGCATACAAAGACAAATGCCTTCTCTTTAAAGAAAACCAAGTCTGTACCTTCATTCATGATGTCCCTATCAGATAATTGGGTCAAAATCTGTACTAAGACAGAGTTTTGCTTCTTCTCCATCCCTGGGTGATGCCAGCTCAGCTTCTATACCTAGTCAGCATTGTTCTGCATTAAATATTATCCTTAGGAAACACATCAGAGAAAATCACATACTACATCTTGATAAAGTGACAAGCAATATCATTTCACTGTCTTGCTAGCTGTGGTAGCACACAGCAGTACTAAGTAGGGCTGAGGCAAGGCAATAGCTAATTCATGGCCAAGCTGGGCTACACAGCAAGTTCAAGCCAGACTGAACAATATAATAAGATCCTGACTCAAAATGTTAAAGGCTAGGGATGCAGCTTAGTGGTAGAGTACTGGCCTAATGTGCATAAGACTTTAGGCTCTGTCTCTAGCACGATGAAATCAAAACAAAACAACTTTACTGGATTCTTTCAATTATGTGCCAGATGTACATAGCCTGAGATTACCTCTAAAATCCCTCACTTGAGCCCTCCTTATATGAATTAATTTACATGTGAACTGCTCGGCCCTTAGAGCTAAGAATCGTGTCCAAGTTCTCGTGGTGGGATCCAGTTGTGTCTGATGCCAAGGCTGGACTTCTAACCACACAACTAATTCTTAGTATTTGCTGTCACACATCTAGTCTCTTTTTTCTCTTCCTAGAATTATGAAAAGACATTAAAATAGGGGAAGGAAGGAAGGAAGGAAGGAAAGGAATGAGGGACAGAAAAAGAAAAGACTGGGATACCTGATAAGGCCCAAGTCTTCTCCATTCAAATCCACCAGTTTCAAGATCAACATTTCCTTGTCTGTGTTTGAAGAATACCTGTCAGCAAAATGAAGAAACTCGGTCAGTTTATAGTAGAGACTGACTCTAACCTACTACAAACAACAGAAGCAGACACAAAAACAAACAAAACAAGGGTAGGTGAGATGGCTCAGAGGATAAAGGCACTAGCTAGGCAAGCCCCATGACCTGAGTTTCATCTCTAGAACTCACGTAAAGTGAAAGGGGAGAGCCAGCTCCCAGAAGTTGTCCTCTGACTGCCACATATGTGCTATGGCATGAGTACTCTCAAACACACATACACACACGCATTCATGTGAGCATGTACAGATGTGCTTGCGTGCACACACACATAAATACTAAGACTAAAGAAATATTGATGCCTCTTAGTGAACCCCATAGTAAAGAGAAGCCCTACACTGCAGCCAATACCTCATTCCTCAGATTACAATTATGATCAGTGATAGGGGCACTAGATCAGCTAACTGAAGCTAAAATTCATTTGTATATCATATATATGTCACAATATAACATGAATAGGTCTCTTGCAAACAGGATTTGCATTTGAAATGTCCACTCACATCAGCTTTCAATAGAATCTCTTCAGAAGGACTCAGAGAATGTAAAGCACAGTTGGTCAAGACCTGAGGCTTCAGAACTCCCTGTCTTTACAAGGGGGATGAGATTCTAACTCCTACAACTAAGTAGCTTTGGAAAGTATGCAAATGTAAGCTGTCAAGTGGGAGAGTTAGAGCTGTAAGCTCTAAGGACCTTGTTAGCTGTCACAGTGCTCACCTACGTCTTCTCATCATTCACAAGCCTGGCTCATCACTTTAAAAAACACAAAGCCCTCATGCCCACTGGCTGTTCCGTTCAGTTATGATTGTTGCTATATCTGGCTCTTCCTCCCAGAATCTATCTCATCCTTCCTTGCTCAACTCAGAGAGACTATGATGATGTTTCCAGACAACAGATGAGATAGAGTAAACCCTGCTCATTCAGCGGTATGCTTTGCCTGTTAACATCTCCACTTCACAGAGAAAGCAACTAAGATCTAACAGATTGAGATGAGAACTCCTGAAAGCTACACAGTAGAAAAGAAAAGATCTCAGGAGCATCCACAGTCGTTCAAACCTCCATGTGGTTTCCCACAGACAACAGTGTGCAGTGACGGTGAAAAGAATTGATTTCTGTGTCTACGTTCATTTCTGGTTTCTTCTTACCGGAGATAAACATGTTAAGGTTGTTTTCTTTAGTACCCTTCTGAGATCCCACTACACCCAACAACTTACCAACTCTGAACTTAGCCTTTTGCTGCTGTTACATAAAGATACAGTGACAGTATCTTGAGGGTTCTGGCTTACCTTGCTCTCTCCGACTGTGGATTCTGAAGATAAGAGGAGGGGCTTCGGTTGATCTGTGCATTAGCAACATTTCCTTTGTTGATAAGGATTTTGCCTGGTTTAAGATTTTCATGAGCTATATCAATGCTCTGAAGTTAAAAAAATAAAAGAGTTGGACGCTTATGCATCTTTGTGGAGATGATGAACAATTCAAACAGAAGAGGGCTCTGTCAACAGCCGTTGTTTCTAATGTGCCCTGACTATAGAGTAATAGCTGGAGAATCACAGGACCAGTGTCATTCTGGAGGTAAGTGGAAATGGTCTTCATAGCTGAAGTGCTGTGAACAAGGATGCTTCATGCTTATAAACCACACCCAAAAGAGTTCCATGTCTTGGGCTCTATGGCCAGCTGGGTCATGAACAATTTGACCTTTTAGGTGGCCCAAATGGGACACTTGATTCCTACCACTGTGGATAAAATTTATTTTCATATGCCACACAAGTAGCCAACCTCATCATCCTCTCTATTTTCAAACATTTTTAACTGAGAGCCACAGGGAAGGGGATATTTTTTATCACAGTTAAATACATGTTAACTTACACATTCTAAAACAAAAGTTTAAAAATATTCAACTATACTAAACTCTTACTAAGATATGTAATGTCTATTTCCTAATCTGCTGAGTTCTTATATAATTGCTATTCCTTACAGCCCAAGACATTTATTTCACAAACCTTTAACACATTACTAAACACAGTATAAAAATGTTACAAAGAAAAGTCTGCCTTTGTCACCTGTGTACTAATCCAAATCACAAAAATTACTATGCTGTTTAACTTACAGAAAAGTCATGTATTTGCAACTAACCATGGGAGGTGACAATCTGCTGCAGGTGCTCTATCCTCAAGGAGAAAACAGAGGTTCACAGCCTGGACGACGAAGGCCTAACTTAGCACATGGCCTTCCTGCCCTATGGTTCCTTGTCCCTATAGCACCTCTTTTCCCTCCCTATCAAAGCCCTGCCATCGCTCAGTCCCTGAACTGTTCTCTCTCCTTTTGAGGGAGGACATTGTAGCATCCTTCCACCTTCACACCCACCATTTCCTGGCGGAATGGTGTCTGAGCTGAAAAGAGACAGACAGGCTTCTGGTAACTGGGAAAGAAGAAGAAAGGCAAGAGAAACCGAAACATCATGAGAACAGTAAACCGTGGCTGCTAAGGTGCTCTTCACCTACCTTCACAATCCCAGAGACTAAGTACTGGAAGGTCCGATTGCTGAACCCCTCACTGGCAAGGATATAGAGCGTATATTGGAAAAACCCTGCTGGGCCAGAGTGTGTATGAATGGCACTCAGGATAACATTGTCTCTTCGATACAGAGAGCCATATTTACTCTGTAGTCTCTTCAGGACCTTGAAGGAAAACAAAACATAGAACTAAGAAGAATCCTATAGCATCTGAGCTGGAAGGGGGCTTCTGAAGAGCTCAAGCACCGGTCTGTCCCGCCCACTTCCCTTTCAGCTGGCCCCTCCTTCCAAGCTGCTCATCATAGTAACAAGTATAATAATGACGACAGCAGATGCTATCATTCTGTAGGGCCTTGCTTGCTACATGCAAGCACGGACATGGCTAGGTATTTTATGTGCCTTATGTTATTTTAAATATTCATAACCCCAAGAGTAGTTATTATTAACCCTGTTTTTAGCTGACAACACTAACACACAACAGTTGATTTTTCTACTAATCTAAAGAGCAGTGGAGGCCAAACTCTAGGCCCAAGTCTCTCTAGCCAGAGCTCTTATGTATTCCTCTTTTGAAAGCTACTGTTTCTTACAGATTGAAATATAGTAGGTCTGACCCTCCAAGGTGTTTGATTATAATAAAAGAGAAAGACAAAAATAATTTTGCACTGGTATACCACCTAGAGCTGAATTCTATGCAGGAAAACATGGCAGGGTAAGGAAAATGGTGGGGGATAGTAGTGAGTAGAGGTCTTCCTGAAGAGGGGCTCTGTTTGGCAGATGTTTAAATGAAAAAAGAGAAGCTGCTTCTGTTGTCTGTAGGAAAAGCATCCCAGACACAATGGACAGACTGCAAAACCTTGCTTTGCAAGATGAAGATTCCTCTGTTCTCTAACTTGGTCTATAAGAAACCACCTACTATGTGTGAGGTCACCCCAAAAATCCAGTGGAGAACTCATAGAGGAGAGAACCATCCTATCAGGTGTAATATGGTAGGCATATGAGTGAAGGGCCATGCCATTCAGGACTTAAAAACAAACAAAACAAAGCACGCCATCATCATACCAGATCGGTACTGCTTTGAGCCACTAGGATTTTTAATTTCATTGTTCAGCAATAGATAAAGGATCTTTAGTAAATGTTCATTACTTTAGGCAATCAACGAACACATACACATATACACAACACATCATGAAAATACTGAAAAATGTAAATGTCGCTGAGTAGCTAATTATGATCCATTTGCTGCTATTGTTGCTTCTATGTGGCATTTCATTAAAATGATCCCCAAAAGTGTCAATCACAAAGCAACCACTACCAGTACCTCTCCTGAGCTAGTGCAGTCCAGTTTCAGCATGCCACTGGTCTAACAGCTTATGTGATCTGTATTTAACATGCAAAGATATCAATTTACCCTTTTCTTCTTTAATGAGCTCTATCAGCCTTCCTCCAATATTGTGGTCAGTAAGACAAAAAAGAAGACGATGTAAAATATTTCACCTCATTAACCTATCTATGCCCTAGGGTTACCATGTGTGATGGCTATTTTTAATGCCCATTTTCTACAAATTATAATTACCTCCCAGTCAGCTAGAGTGATGGCTCAGTGGCTAAGAGCACTTAATGCTCTTGCAGAGGAGCCTGGTTCAGTTCCAGGAAAGCTTATGCCCTCTTGGACCTCTGCAGGTATTGTGCACATATGGTATATATACATAAATGTAGGCGAATATTCACTCACATAAAATAATATAAAAAATAAAAGAAATAAATCTAAAGGAAGAGAGGGAGAAGAAGGAGGAGGAAGAGTAGGAGGAGGAGAAGGAGGAGGAGGAGGAGGAGAAGAAGGAGAAGAAGGAGAATTTACTGAGTAGGGAGCCTTAACTGAGGATTCCTCTGTTGATGATAGAACTGGGTTTCCAAGCTTCTGTCATTGACTAAGAGCTAGCAGTTCTCCTAGAATACAACAGAACCTCAGTAACAGAATAGGACTGCTTAGACACCAAGAAATGATACCACGTTCTTGTTCTCTCTAGTTTGAGGCAGTCATTGTGGGTCTGCCCACTCCTGCTGCTGAAGCTCACACTTCCAGGACCCAGTGATTACCAGGTCCTCAGCCTCTCGGCTGTAGACAAACTGTTGTTGCTATCTCACCAGAAGGTGATTTAATAAAACACATGTTTTTCTATTTTTCATGCTTTCTGTCCTGTTCCTCTACAGAACCCTAACTAATACGTCATATTCACATAAACAATACTGTGGAAAGAGAATGGCAGGTTATAACTAGCATCCCTCTGACCAAACAGCCCTCAACTCCACCCAAGCAAGATTCTGTGTCTCTTGTTTAACTTTAACTCTAGTCCCAAGGCCTCGTCCCTCCCATACATTCCTCTAGATAGTAACTACCATGCTTACTGAGAAGAAAAATCTATCAAAACGAAAGATGATCGATGACTGAGCACCATTGAGCTGAAGTAAAGTCAAAGGCCACAGTTCTCAAGAGTTCTCCTCTAGAACAGGGAGGTGGGAGAAGACAGAGTCAAGTCTAACACTCTGCACTTCCTTAATAAATGCTAACTTAGAATTTTAGACATTGGTACATTTCTTTATGCTGAGTCAAGAGGTGAGCTTTTAAGACAAATACTATGATTTTAGAATAATAAACAGCTCACATATATCTTAACCCACTGCCTCTGACAGAGATTTAAGGGAAAAGAGATTAAGCACTGACCCTATATCACAAGCCTGCAAATAGCTGTTATAAACAATCCTGTTCCACTTCAAGAACGAAGGCTGTGTCCGCCCAGAGCAAAGTGGCTAGAGTTCTTGTCTACTGCTCACTTCTCCGTCTCCTCTTTTGGTTCCATTCTGCTGGAACACTCTTGGGAACAGGATCAGAAGAGCGTGAAAGACAGTCTGTTTTCCTGTCCCACCTCACAGCTTACAGATTATCCCTATCTCCATTCAGCACTGGGAATATCATCAATCTTAGAGCAGAGATGGAGATCTGACCTAAAAACCACATTCATAAATACACTTACTGCATGTGCTTAGCTGTTTTCATTTTTCTTCTACGTTTCCTTGGACTGACTTGTGAGAACTAAGTGGGGTGGTAGAAAGGCCTTCCTCTTGGGCCTCGGAGTGCAAGTGGGGTAAAGACAGCAAAAGGTGGTTAAATCAAGGCCACCTAAGGGCATCTAGATTCTGACCCATCAACCTCTCGATACTTCGGATTCTATCTCTAGTGTCTGTCATTTTGCTCATGACTCTGCCATTACCAACCATCTTTGATTGCTCAGAAAAGCAATGTGGTGCAGTGGTAATGAGCACAGCATATGGCACCAGGATGCTTAAGTTTGGATCCTAGCTCTGAGAATCCCTCACCACACCCCTTTGGCTAAGTTACTTTATTCTCGGTAACTTGATTTCTCTCTCTTTCTGGTCCCAATATAGTAACATCTCCTTCAGAGAGTTCAAAGGTTGTTAACACCTATGGGTTATTCTGAACAGCACCTGGCTCACCATGAATACTAGTGTTTATCCCATTTATTCCCAAATCATCTTAATATCTTACCATCTTGTAGTTTTGCTGTCATCCCATTAGATTCAGACAAGTCTCATGTGACATACAGGAAATTGACAGGAAGAGTTTAGCAACCCCTCCCAAACTCTAACTATCCTTTTAGCCTTCCTACACCTCTTACAACTTCATAATATTACACATTTTTCTGTTTCACATACCTAGTATGACTAATGTCCTCTTATCCAGACCCTTACCAATTGAGTCTCCACGTTAAAGAACCTACTAATTTGTGACTTTCCTTCTAGTTGCACATAATTCTAATCTAAATGAAGCCTCACCGCCTAATTAAACATCCTCCATAAAACTCTCTTTATGATACTTCACTCAAACATTGTCCAAGATTCCACATTTCCCACATAATTGAAATCCATTTAGCATCCGAGGGTCTCTATGGTTGTGACCATTGTACCATCTCTATATACACGACTCTGTATGTCCTGCTGGCTTTCCTCTATATCCCTCCCTTCCAGCCCTCTGTGTTTATTCTGCCCCTTACTTTGGTCTCTTCCTATTCTAGTTTGTCATCTATTGCTGGAATAAAACACCACGACTAAAAGCAACTTGTGGAGGAAAGAGTTTATTTTAGTTTAAGTTGCACTATATTATGAAGGGAAGTTAGAGGAAGAATTCAAGGCAGGTACCTGAAGAAAATGTAGAAAATGAAAATCAGGAAAGCATTTTCATAGTAGAAATCATACTTCACTGTGCAGAATTCCAAATGTTTATAGTGGAGAGGGGGTGTGTTGGTTAGTTTTTTGTCAGCTTCATGCAAACTTAAGCAAGAGGCATAGGGGACTACTGATTACTGGCTTGTACCTCCCCTCCCCCATAGCTTACTTGGCTGGATTTCTTACATAATCCAGGACCATCTACCCAGGAATGCTGCCCATAGTAGGCTAGCTTCTTCCAACATTAATCATTAGTCTAGAAAATGACCCAACACACTTAGAGACCACTCAGATAAAGGTATTTTCTAAATTGAGGTCCCCTCTCTCTAGATGACTCAAGTTTGCATGAAGCTGACAAAAAAACTAACCAACACACTCCCTCTCCACTATAATCATTTGGAATTCTGCACAGTGAAGTATGATTTCTACTATGAAAATGCTTTCCTGATTTTCATTTTCTACATTTCTTTGTCTTCTTGTGATAATCTTAAAAGACTACATATGCCCATCCTACCTCAGTAAATAGCCTTAAGCGTCATACTGAGACTTGGTCCCAAAACAAAACATAGTGCTAAAGTTTAACTTGCCTAACTTTAAATATGTATAGACTTGCTTAATGAACAGAACAGAGTAATTGTGTACAACTGCTGAAAATGAGTTAGAAAACCACTGTCATCCACCCTGCAAGAATTCGGGACAACTGAGCAGAAGCCTGAAGCTTCCTGCCAACAAGCACATTAGTGAGTCATCTTGCATGTGGATCTTGCAGCTAGAGTTAAGCCTTCACGTCTGTTCTTTGCCATCCTTATAATTGTAAGAGAACACAAGCCAGAACCATGCAGCTAAGCTAGTCCTGAATTTCAGCTCCAGAGTAAGTAAGATGGTGAATATTGCTGTTTTAGGCTACTTTATTGTGGAGAAAATACCATATGGAACTAGATCACTACTGTAGAACTGTGATCCAGTGATTGACAGCAACCTGTACACTTCCGTTACAATCTTTCCCCTAAGACTTGACTCGACTGTATAGAGGACATGGACTGTGACTCCTTTAGTTGTGTCCTCTGCAAACACTGGTAAAATACCATAAAGGAAGCAATAGAGGCAATTTTCCAACTAAAAGAATGAAGTCTTTCTTAGTTGGATGTACCATAGCTAGTAGAGCACTTGTATGGTATACAGAAATCCCTGCGTTCAATCATCAGCACCGCATAAACCACAAGTAGCCTGGTTCTCAGGATGTAGAGGCAGAAAAACTGTAAGTTCAAAGTTATCCAAGCATATGCCAGTGAGTTTGTGACCAGCACTGGCTACATGAGACACTGTCTCAAGTAAATGGGATGGAGCTAAAGCCTCTTTTAAGAATGCAGTTTTTTCATAACCCAGCTCTACTATTTGCTAATAACTGTCTGAATTTTAGAAGGTGACTCCCCTTCTCTAGGATTCGGCTAGTTTATCTGGGGAAAACAGCAGAGCCAGCTCAGGGATTAGTTGTTGGAATAGGACAGATGAAAATAATTAATTCCAGCCTCTGCCTATCTGCACGAGAGGCAGAGAAGGGTTCCACTACAGTCCCAAGAGTGGCAACATAAAATGGTGTCTTCAAGCCATGTCATCACTACCTGCTCCACACAGCACAGCAGTAAAGCATTCAACAAGAAAGACTCACAGAGGGCTAGTGAGATGGCTGAGCAGTTAAGAGCACTGACTGCTCTTCCAGATGTCATGAGTTCAGATCCCAGCAACCACATGGTGGCTCACAGCCATCTGTAATGAGATCTGATGCACTCATATGGGTGTCTGAAGACAGTGTACTTACATATAATAAATAAATTTAAAAAACAAAACAAAAACAAAAAAGAACCTTTGGGCTGGAGTGAGCAGGGCCAGAGCAAGAGGGAAGGGGAGGGGAAAAAAAGAAAATTGAAAGAGAGAGAGAGAGAGAGAGAGAGAGAGAGAGAGACACTTTATGACAAGCCTGCATAACTGACACCTGATTGCTGCACTTGTCCGTGTCACACCTCTCTGCTGCATTTCAGTCCTCAACTGGTTCATTACAGGCATTCTCGACTATGTGAAAACTCGAGGAAGAGGTCATGGACCAGTTGGTGCTCTGAGATGCCTGACAAGCTGACAAGAATCACTACGTGAGAACACATGAGAACACAAGTGGAGCACAGTAAGCTTTCAGAGAGCATTTGCATTCATAACAATGACAAGCTGTCAGCATAACTGAAAACATGCTTTAAAAAGGAACACTTAAGACTGCAGGAAGGAAGGGGACCTGCCTGTATGATTATTTGTCCGGCTGTCAACACCTCACTTTGAAGGTAGGAGATACTCATTAGATGAGAAAGCAAGAGTACAGAGTTCCTGTCGAGGGCGTCCACAGAGTCCTTTCCAGTCCTTCCTTGTATCACTCACCTCCAACCTGAGTCGTTGGGAAATCATACATAGTTCCACGCTCACAAATGCCATTCGATTTGACCCATCTGGATCCGCGAAGATGAAAGCACGGCTGAACAGCCTGGTGAGGAGACCCCGTGCATTCTGGCCATTTTTGCCATAGCCCATCTAAAAAGAGAGAAAGACATGAACTTCTTCAGGAGCCAGGCACCATCCTACCAGAAGAGACACAAATGAAAAATTGGCATGACACTGTGAATTAGTGAAGTTGTGTGTGAGATTTGTGTTTCCAAAAATGTAAAAAAAAACTAAAACCATGATAGAGCCTTTGGTATTTACACAGAAGAGAGAGAGAGAGAGAGAGAGAGAGAGAGAGAGAGAGAGAGAGAGAAGAAAGAAAGAAAGAAAGAAAGAAAGAAAGAAAGAAAGAAAGAAAGGAAAAGTACTGATCAAATTGGCAGTCCTTCTCTGTGAGGACAGAGCAGGTGGTTGCACTACCTCAGGAGACTTCCTACGTCTGTAATGGGATGATTTTCATCTAAGGTTTTATAAGGAAAGCACTGTGTCTCCTTCCTCCACCGTCACTCGGCTTTTTACCAGTTCATCATTCTCTAGCTAAGGCAAGTAAGGTCATGCATGCACTTCTGTTCCACAACCCTTCTTTCACCATATCCAAAACAAACAAAGAAACAAACACCACCTATTAAAACTATTCCCAGGTCTTCCAATGGCCACCTGTATTCTTTGTCTTCCCACTCTTGATTGTTCATTTAGGGTTCACAGTTCGAGCTTCTTCTCCAGAACAAACAGCTGAGTATAGTAAAGAGTATTTGCTAGAAAGGAGCAAATTCCAGCAGACAACTTCTTGCTCTAATTCCCTTAGGCAAGCATCAAGGAAAGTGGAGATTTCCTCCACTGGCATGGTGATTGTCAATAGGCTGCCTCTGACTCATGAAGTCCATGATGCTGCCCCATACTAGATTTACAGCTTTAACTATCTTGGTCTGTGCTGTCATCACAGTACATGCCTTTAATGCCAACACTTGGGAGGCAACCACAGGCAGATCTGTATGAGTTCAAGGTCAGCCTTTTCTACATAGTGAGTTGCAGGCCAGCCAAGGTCTATATCACAGAACTTTGTCTCAAAAAAATATATTAAAAAATAAAAACAGGAGCTCTAACAAGCCCAGGATTGTAGGTAAGGAGGCCACGACACCCCTACCCCCCAAATAAGGAGGAATTGGGACACTCGGGAACCAGGAACTCCCTCTCAGCAAGTGGCACCTGTTCCTTCCAGTCTGTGCTGGAGCCCTGAGCTGACCTAGGGGTGTCAGCTCTGCACCCAATCCCAGAACACCCAGAGAAGGCTGGACCCACAGGAGCTCTAACACACCCAGGGACATAGGATCATAGGATCATAGGATCACAGGATCTCAGGAGCTTGGTCACACCAGGATTTCAGGATCACAGAAGCAACCTGACTCGCAGGAGCTCTTACACCCAAGATCTCAGGATAACAGGATCATACAGACATCTGGACTCTGAGGAGTTCTGATACAACCAAGATAAAAGGAGAGAAAGGCTCCAGTCAGAGACAGTGATTGTAGGTAGCACTAGAGATAACCAGATGGAGAAAGGCAAGCACAAGAACATAAGCAACAGAAACAAAGGTTACTTGGCATCATCAGAACCTAGTTCTCCCACCATAGCAAGCCCTGAATACCCCACGACACCAGAAAAGCAAGATTCTGATTTAAAATCACTTCTCATATGGAGAACTTTAAGAAGGACATAAATAACTCCCTCAAAGAAACATAGAACACAGGTAAACAGGTAGAAGCCCTTAAAGAGGAAACACAAAAATCCCTTAAAGAATTACAAGAAAACACAACCAAACAGATGAAGGAATTGAATAAAATGATATAGGACATAAAAAAATGGAAGTATAAAAAATTAAGAAATCACAAAGGGCTTCGGCCCCTGCCTGGTCCCTTGGACTGGAGCAGACACAGAGTCGG